TGGGATAGCTTCTTCCTGTAAGGAAATTCTTTCCAACCTTTATTTGAATTACTATGGCTTTGTATGCCTTCTCCTTCAGTTATAGCTAGAAGTATTATTTGGCAAAGGTCCTTGTTGCAGAGATGGGGGCTGGGGATGGCGGAAAGAGAGGTAATGGGGTTATAGCTAAGGGTATTTAAGACCCAAAGTTGGAGAGAAGGTTCTGAAGTAAATTTTCCTTTGTTTTATGGCACATTCATGTAATCTAAATTGTGCTTGAGGTTTATTTTTGAGATCATACCCTGGCTTGTGTATTTGAGAGTATGGTACTCGGAGCAATTGCTCTCATTATCTGATTAATATGGTTGGCTCTTCTCTTCTATACAAAATTATGGGAGTAATTAAAACTTGCTCACTTTGCAAAGGGGAAACATTTTGCCACTTGCAAAACAGGCTGGAAAATTAACAGCAGTTACTGGAAGAAGAGCCAAGCAGACGAAAAAAATGTTTGCCTCCAAAACCATCTCTCTGAAAGGATGCAAAACTTTGTGCTTGAGCTAGCCTCCAAGAAAGCTATGGAAAGCTGCCGTGGTATAGTTTGGTTGGGAATTAGGTTTCAGAAAGGCTTGTAACTTCATTGAAAAATGGTCCTAGACTTGATGCTGACAGATTTTGCTAGCGGTACTCATACTTGGCTCAAACCAGGACTTGCAGCCATTTTGCAAGCAGGAAAACATTGGAAGATCTGTTGCTTGCATGAGTTTTTCAGCCACATCTGAAACAGTATTATGAAACCAATCTGATTTGGGTTCCCACATCAAAATGGGAGTCAACTGATCCAGATTCAGTGTGTCCCATCCAAACCGCAGCTCATTTTTTAAGAGGGTTGGATTTGCAGCTCTAGTTTCAGTCTGCTTATAATGGGAAAATGACTTTTATTTTGGATGATCCCCAGGAATTTCTCTATCTTGCAAACTGCCAATTTCCAGATTTGTGCATGGCATAGAGTGAGGGGGAAATCTGACATCTTTTCAACTCCTGTGTACGTTTGGCATAATCCAATTGCTTCTGCTTTCGGCTGAGTCAAACTTACTGCTAGAGAAAAGTGGAAAAAGTTGCATGTGTCCTTGGGAAATGCAAAGAAATTTGCATATGAGCAAAGCCCATTTCTTATGAACTCCCCAAAAAGCCCTCCACTCCCACGCAGAGGGTCCACAGCATCCATTCAAGGATGTAAGGACCATTTATTCAAACCCTGGTTCTCCTTATCATTTTTAGCCACAGAAATTTCCCCCTTCTGCAAGAGTAATGGCCTGATCTAAAGAAAAGAAAAAGTAATTCTTATGTAACTTCTTAACAACATGTTTTTTTCGGTCATTTACGTGGTGTTCTGTAGCATAAAAAAGAGCAAACACTCAGGAAATGTTTGCTTTAATGCCCTTGTTGAACCATGCTCCTGTCCCTGCAAAAAGCCAGCAGCAGTTCATACATGCTGCTCACTTACGAGTGTGAGCAGGCTTATTTAAACAGCATGTTCAGTATCAGTAGATGCTGCAAAAATACAATATTTCAGACTTGACTGATTTGACTTGTAAAACTTCAAGAAAATATTGAAAAACATTCTGGGGTTTGCTAGGGGGAAAATATAGGCTTTAAGCATGTATTGTGATTTTTTTCTTTGTTTCTACAAAAAATGACAGCTTCTAATGCACATATTCCAGACTCAATAGTATTTATCACTGCCTTATTGAAAGATCATTTTCAGGTCCTTTAAAAAAGCAGGGCAGGGAAAAAAAGGTTTCTGGTTTAAATCGGGGCCTCAAAGTGGCAGCTTTTCACAGGAAGATGTGACAATCTTTGTCCAGCAGAGAAAAACAGGTCAGTTATCAGTCCTGGGCCCTTTTGCTCCAATATGGCACAAAGAAGTACTGTGAGCAGGGTTCTTCCGAAAAAGCAGATGATGGGTAAGCCTGCATCCTCACTGATGTGAATTCCTGACCCATTTTCTGTAGCAGACTAGCTCAGGAGTATGAAAGAGCTGCTGGGGATGGAGAAAATGCCTTGCAGACAGGCTGGCCCTTCGGTGCATGCGAATGTAAGGCAACCATCGCTGTGTCGGAGCAAGTCACTGGGCACATCGCAAACAGCTCGCTCAGACCCAGTCCTCCAGGGATCCTGCCCCAAGACATTGCCGCACAGTTCGAGGATGGGTTGATGAATAAGAATCCCAGCTAATGTGATAGATGGGGAAGAAAGTCTTGTAGTCACTGGTTGTGGAAGGAAGTGGGTGGTATTCTGTAATATTTTCCACCAATTCCACTATTTTAAATTTTTTTTCCACTATTTTCCGACTGCCAGCCCCCCTTCTACTCTCTCTCCATCCTCTTTCCCATGTGAGAGTCTCAATAGACATCAGTTTGTCCCCTGGGCTTGCAAAGAGCTGGTGTGTGCTTCCACCCATCCCATTCTGTGTTTGGAAAACAAGAGATTGGTGAGATCCCTGCCCTTGCAAAGGGCAGCAGCTGGGCTGAGGCATCCTTATCCCACCAAAAAAATATCTCCCAGGGTAGCAGGTAGCCAGTGTGTTCTGTTGCATGGCAGTGGGGAAACAGGAGCTCATGCCGATGCTTTTAGCTATCCCCAAAGGCTGGGGTGAGGATTAATGGCGTCCATAGGAGCTGCTCCCTCCACAGGGAGGGCTGAGAGCCTCCTCCAAGCTACAGTGTTTGGAGAACTGGGGGATGAAATGAAATGTTTTTGATAGCACGAGTGTAAATAGCTCCTGAGTCAGCTGCCCTGGGGGGCTGGAGGCTGCTCCATCACTTGAGATCACTTGGCTCGGTGCTTGATGTGCTCTTCCAAATGTAATTGCTAGCTCAGGGCTGGTTTATTGGGTTTTGCTGTGTGCGCTTGCATGGCAGGGAGGATTAATTCTCTCTGCTGCAGGGGTCACTGGATGGGGCCATGCAGAAGGCCTCCCGAGGACGGGGGTTCAGAAGGACTCAGGGACATCAGACACGCATCTCCAGCTTGAAAGCAAAAAGGGAAATAAGTGCTTTATCCCGCTCCTCCCCAGACTGCCACAAAAATTCCAATTTGCAGAAATATGTGGATGCCTTTTGGCCTTGCAATGAACAATCCATGGTCTCGCCAAGAGAAAATATTCCTTCAAGTGCCCATTTTGTGCTCCAGTTTATCCTGTCCAAGTGTATTTCAGTCCCAGCAGCTATCTCTCCTCTGAGAAGGATTTAATATTAGGAGGCTGTTGGCCCTAATTCAGCAAAGCACCAGGTCATCAGCAGTGCTTGCACATTCATGGCTTGCTCCCTTCTTAATATTGTATTGAGCATGGATGGGTTCCTTGGGAGACAAATGTTTGGAGTGAGGAGACAAGTTGGTTTTGTTCCTGTTTATTTTGTTTGCCATCCAAATTAATAATAGGTTAAAGATGTCCTGCTGATTAGCCATAACATCCCAGCAGCATTATTTGTTCTGTCACAGTCGAGATCAGGGTCCTGGTGTGCTAAGGAAAGAAGACACCAACTCTGCCATGGAGATGGAGAAAGGAGAGGCTTCTGGCCTTAAGAAGAAGGGTGTCAGCCTTAAAGTGGCCTTAAAAAAATGGACTCACAGCTGGTGGCATGGATTTCCCCAGCAGATGAGAGCAAGATGGCTGAAAAGCAGGTATGGGGAAAATTCTAAGTGAATTGGAGGTCTTGATTTAAAGAAGGAGGAGTATAAATGTTGATGGTGTTTTTGAAACTAAGTGGAAGCATCTCCAGGCATCCTCTTTCCACAGGAGTAGAGCAGGGAAGACTGATGGCCAAAAAGTGGCACCAGCTCTGCTTTCTGGGTGCCAGGGCATGGGCTGGTGGATCTGGCTGGATGGCAAAGTGTTTATCTCACCCATCCCCAGGACCTGTGCTCTGCAGAGGGATGCGGGTTAGAAAGTTCACATAAACCTATCCAACACTTCACATCAGTTCTGCTTTCTGTCCCAGGTCCTTCCCTGCCAAATTTGGGGATATTCAGAGTTCCTGTCTGCTCCCCAGCCTCTCACCATCTGGCAGTGTGATAGGAACAGCAGCCTTGCTTCACAATAAATCAGTGCTGCCCAGTGGTCCACATCTGGCCAAGTGGGCTCTGCAAGTGTCAGAAAAGAAAATACTGAAAGCTCTTTCTTGCTCAACATCTATCTGTGTATATAGATGTTTACACATATATATAAAATGGAAGTGTATGTATATATATAACACATCTATAAAAGAAGCTTGTCTAGAACCACAGCATGCAGCTATTCTCTGTCAGCAGGCTTTCCATGAGGCTGGGCTTACACATGGGGACCAGATGTGGCCATCCAAAAAGGTCTGTTCACTTCTATACCCTCTCTTTTTTTTCCATCGTACTTATGTACAGCATGAGACATATGGGGCAACCATCCATCTGAGGCTAAGCAGAAACCAAGAGTGATTGCTTACAATGCCATAAATAGCTAAATAGCCATTTTCAATAGTAAATAGGGATATGTGAATTAAGAATGAACTCTCCGAGCAGTTTGTAGACATTCCAGTTTCATGTTTTAATATCTTCATGTGGCTTTTTTCCGCCCTTCTTTGCTTCTCTTGGTGGGAGGTGACACATTTAACAATGTTTCCCATGAGTGAGAGGCCCACTCTGGTTATCTAAAGCAGAAATAAAAAAAAAAGAAAAAAGAAAAAAGAAAAAAAGACTAGGACTCTTCAAAAGGAGCCTAGCAGAACCAGAGACCTCAGGCGTCTTGGGAGCTGTATATTCGGTTCTTTGAGGGGACCCTGAAAAATCCCATCCACACGATATTGGCAGTCAATACAAGGATTGGGGGACGCGTTTCCAGCTTAGAGCCTTTGTATGAACTTTCAAAGTTTTCAAGAGCTGTCTCAGCCAGCCACCCTTCTTGACAGCAACGAAAGCTGTCCAGAAAGTCAAATTCCCATCGCATGGAATGAAACTTTCTGATGTTTTTCTGTTTGCTTTTGTTCCAGATCAGGAAGAAAAGTCCAAGTTCCACTGAGTGGAAGTTCTTGTGAAATGTAGAGTCAGAAACATGGGAGCGACCTTATTGAAGCAGACCATTTAGTTTCAGTCTAAACACCAGGTAAAGTGGTACAAAACATGGGTGTCAGAACAAAAGGAAAGGGTAGAATAACCAACATGAAAAAGCTGAAATCAAGCTTTTAGTTTCAAACTTAAATGTTTCTGAGGTTTTGCTGTCCAAACTCCTTCAAAATCAAAATTCTCCTGCAAGTCAAATGGTTTTGGATGAATCAGGATTTACTATTGAAAAACTGCTCTGGGAATTTCAGCGGTTTGCCCCAAACACAGCTTGCTGTCACATCTATGCTTGTCTTTATAGCGCAGGGTTCATAACCACATGCAAAACTTGGGATCCAGCTTTGAGGCTGGCCCTGCTTTGTGCAGGAGGTTGGACTAGAGATGTCCCGAGGTGCCTTCTGACCTTGGTGATGCCCACAGTCTTTGCCATGGAAAATAGTAACTTTGCTAAGAGATAATGGGGGGGAAGGTGTGTGTGTGTGCGTGTACAAAAAGCAAGAGGGGAGGAAAAAAGGCAAAATAGCAAAAGAAAAACAGAGGTAGAGGAACATGCTTGTCAAAGACATACCTAGAAGGGAAAAAGCAGGAAAAGTACTTGTACCTTTCCAGGCTGAAAATCTAAAATTCCTTTCCTGCTTTTCTTCCAAAATATCCCCAAAGTAATCTCCTCCAGCCACCCTACATACCTGATCTCAGTTCAGTGGTGGAGGAGGGATTTTCCCAGGCACATCTTTGGGAAGGTGAAATCTCCGACTGTGGGGAGCATCCATTAATGGGGAAGGCACAGGAGAACTGGCTAGTTAAGCAATAGGCAGGTGTCTTTAACTTTACCCACTTCGCTTTATAGAGCGGGGAGAAAATGGCAAGCAGAAATACCAAATCATACGGCAGGAGCCATTGCCTGAATTGAGAGGGAGGAGCAGTCCCAGTTGCCGAGGCTCAGCACCCCATGGCAGAGGGAGCACTCGGCGGATCAAGAGTTTAGTAAGGTAATAAGGAGCATTTTGCTTATCTGGTACTGACTTTCTCTGCAAATCTAGGAGCTGCATAAAGTCGCTTGGTAATTCTTGCCTGTGCTGGTAGCTGTGCTGGTCTTCCTTGAACTTGGTCTGCTAAGGAAATTAGAGCTTACAGCCACCCATGACTTGATGGGATGGTGGCATAGGAGGGACAGTGTGACTAGTTCAGCCACAGCACCTGAACGCCTGGTGTATTTTGGCTAAGTAATTTTGGTACTAGCGTGGTGCAAGGTTGATGGTGTGAGTCCTGCTGCAGAGAGCTGTCTCCAAGCCCCGCAGTGTGCTCGATAAATAGGTTGGATGTTTGGTGTCGTAATTCCAACAGTGCTCGGTATTGGCTCAGCTCTGCTTTGTTCGAAGTCAGCGGGAAGCGCTGATGGCAAGCCAGCACGGCTCTTACAATCCCTTTCTCTCACTAATTACTTCTGGCTGCCATGGAAGCCCCAAGGACTTCAAAGGGATGACACTGGATTTGCACGAGGCTGTCTCTCTGGATCTTCCATCCCAGTTTCTCAGCCCATGGTGGTCCATAAGGCTTCAGAAGGGGACCCACTAAACAGCTGCAGAAAACATTAAAATATATTATGTGTTCCCACAAATGCACATTCCCACACAGACAAAGGCAAGGAAAATGGAGAGAAATCAAAGCGCTAAATGAACAATTGAAATGCAGCTTTTTTTCTCTTTTTGGCTGTAAATGAAAAAGCATGTGCACAAGATGGAGTTGGGTTGTGCAAAAGGTGAATGGTTCTTAAATTAAATGTGCAGAAGTGCATACTCTGCCCCGCACCAAGAGCGCTATGGAATGCTGCAGAGGTGGTCCAAGGCTGCGGGCACCATCCTTTGGGGCAAGTCCAAGCCTGAGCCCGTAATATCACTGACCTCTTGGTGCTTTTAACATCTTGTTCTTAACTAGCTGCACATCCGCCCTCAGGCGAGACACTGCATACACCCTTCTGGCTACATCTTAGGACCATGTAGCCTTCCTACTTCTCTGTTAATGCAAGACCAAAGATAGACTGTTCCAAGCAGATTTATTTTGTTTCTTAAAATTATTAATGAGTCTTCAAGGAGCTTCATACACCTCACACCTAAGCAATTGCATCCCCAGCATTTTGCCACTCCATTCTCAGGGGCCAGATTTTGAAGGAGAACATTGATGCATCAACTTTGCCACAGTGATGCTGCTTTCCCTTGTGTGGGATGTGCTGCGCTTCTCTATGAGGGAGCAGAGAAACCCTGAGGCAAAGCAATCTGTAACATCCACAGCCATGGCAGGACACCCACCAAATCAGTGCAATCCTTCCCCCTCTTTCAGCAGCTGGGTCAAAGAGGAGAAACTCTGGTCTAGGCTGAGCAGAAAAAACACTTTTTGGTCTTGGCGGAGGTTTGAAGGAGATGCTTGTGCCAGGGATGGTGATGCCAGCTCAGGGGGACAGGGGAAGGTAAGCTGGGAAGTGATGTTCTCCGTGTCCCATGGAGGGGCAGTAAAACATGGCACTGAAACCACAGCAGCAAATGTGTCAGAGACTTTTTTCTCTTTTACAGAGATTGTCCACCTTCTCGGGCCCTTTTGGGTTGAAAAAGTGGTATAATCAGAGGGTTTCTGTAATAAAGGCTGTTGGAGACCTCTCCAGCACCACTGCGTATCCTAAAAAGAAAAGGAGGGATGATTTTTTTTCACTAATCAAATCCATGGTTCTTCTAGGCTGTTTCCTGCAGGGGGGAACAAGAGGAGTTGGGGGCCATTTATCCCCAGAGCCTCCATCAGCCCTGCTCCTGGGGGGGCACCTGCTTTGCCAGAAGGAAGTTCAGCCCTTGGGACACAGTGGTGCCTCTTTCCAACTGGCAAGGGCCCTGAGTCCCAGAGGGTTTTGCAGGCCTGACACTTGAAAAACACATCCTGGGGCTGGATTAACCCTGTCCAACATGGAGATGCTTTATAAGCATTTTTCATAAACCAGGGAAGTTTTATAACTAGTCAATGAGCTGATGGGACAGCTCTGGACAAAGCAAACAAATAGCATCATCAGACAAATTTAAGTGATTTTGCCCAGACTCTTCTCCTGGACAAAACCAGGTTGGCTCTGTTTGTTCTGGTCCTGATTTTCACACGTTTCAATGAGGGGAGAAACAGAGGTTTCCACTAAACCATTAAGAAAGTGGTGATTTCAAAACAGCCAGGCAGATCTGACCGTGCTTATTTCAATGGGCTTTTAGTAACCTTCAGAGACTGGCAATTCGGGTGGTAAACCGACTTTATGATCTGTTATTACCTGTGCTCTGCTCAGAGGCAGCAAAACTCATTAAGGACGTAAACAGCCAGAGTGCTCCCGTGTACCCGTGCAGGCAACCTTTAATGCTCTCCCTTTTCCGGCTTCTCAGCAATAAAAATACATTATTGGTAAAAAACAAAAGCCACAGACTTAGCTGCCGGTTTGCTTAGTGGTCAGGCTTCTGTGCTTGAGGTTTTATTTCGTTGCTGATGTCTTATGGATGACTGTAGAAAAATGCACTTACTTTTTAGGAAGTCAGCCAGTATGGTATGCTTTCTGTTTTTTATTTAACTACACATTAAATGTTCCCCTTTGCCCCGAGTTTTATTAAGGAGAAATTAAAGAAAGCCTCATTAAGCCAGAAACACAGAAGGAAAGCAGTCCATCCTGCTGGGCCAAAGAAACAGCCCCAGGATCAGCCCTATAACATTAGCCCAATTCTCCAGACCTGATATAATTATGAGCATTGCAGTCTGCAAAGGGCAGAGGAACTGCAGACATTCCTCCTGCAGAAAATTGGGGAGAAATGAAGGCTGAAAGGGACCTTGGAGTTCATCAAAACTCACAGCTGGTGGATGTCGGTGCAAGCTGGTAACACTGGGTGATGGAGATCCCTCCACAGCCCTGCGTAACCTCTCCCTGGTATTACAACATTTGCCCTCAAATAGAAAATGTTTCATATCTCCAGCAAGCAGAAATACCAAAGTCCACCAATGTCCCAGCCAGCTCTCTTGGCTACGGTGTATCACTCCAGAAAAACTCAAGCTGGTCCTATAGAGGAGGCCTTCAAGAAACAATGCACCAGAGGGTTTCCAATGGGCTCACAGGTCCATTAGCATGTGGTACATTGTCTCCTGAGCATCAGGGCATGCTCACATTCCCCACTGACTTGACTTCTCCCATCTCTCCCAGTGTTTTGGCTCAACACCATGGTGCAGCCAAAGGACCACGTGTTGCATTTGGGCTTGAAGGTGCATGCTAGCACCTGTAACCCACCATTGCCTCCGGATGCTTCAAAAACATGTTTCTGGTTTTTGGACCATGTTATGCCTGGGATGAAGTCACGCGATCTGGCTGGTGCTCTAGGAAAGCACAGAAATCTGTTGCTCTCAGTGGTGTTTCTCCACACCCCACCTGTGCTGGAGTTCCTTGGTGGAAGGAAAAGGCACAGATTACTTCAGTATTAACTAATACCGAGAGCACCATCTGGTGGGCTGCAGGGCTGGAGAATGTGGATGGTCAGAGCTGAGGAAGGGCTTGGGGCCTGAAAGCAACCCAGAAGTGCATCTGGTTGGGGCCATCAAGTGGCTGCAGTCCACCTGGTCCAGCTTCCTACAGCCATCAGCTGGTAGCTTTGAGGAGAAGGTGGAAATAATCCCCATGGTGGTGATTAATAAATAACATTTCTTCCTGCCTTTGGATGGACGGAGCTTGACGTGCTCCTTGAAGTGTGGATAAATCCCTTGCTGGGATGACTAAGGTCTTACCATAAATATCCATCCTTTCTTTGAATATGGATAAAATCTAAAAATATTGTGGCAATGAGTTCCATAGGTCTGTGATTTTATATATATATATGTATATATATACATTTCTCTTCCATGTATATATAAAAATATGTATCCATTTTAAGTTGGGTGATAGTCAGTGTTACCATCTGTAGCCTTCCCCTGTGAGAGAGGGGCTTAGCAGGACCTGAGTTACTTGGACCAGCCACAATATTGCTGGTCTTCATGATTTTGTCCAGAGCCCTGTGATATCCTATTAACTCTTACAAAGACCTTCAATTTCCTGTGCTGAACAAAACCCTCAAAAAACAGACCAACCCCATGCACATCATGCACCATTTTTAAAAACTCAATCTTTTCATTGACCTTTCAGCATAATCCCCAAGCTCTGCATGCTTTGGGGTGGGAGACACCCTCCCAAAACATGGCTTTTGGCAGGCAGCTGGTCCTCCTTTTACCTGTATGAAAGCAAGGCAAAGATGCTCCTTAGCATTGGAGCTCCTTCGCCTGTCCCATTTGCTGCTGGCCATGAGTCTGACCGAGAGGTGCCTCTTTACTGTATCCAGCACGATGAAAGATGAACTATTCCAGGCTTTTTTTTATGCTATTATCGCTTTGATGGATCAATATTTATACGTTTCCTATATGCGAGCTGTCAGGGAACATGTCTTTCTGTGTGCTTGTGCAATTTGGTGCAAACTGGGGGCCTCAGCTTGAGGGGGGCATTCAAACAGGGCTGCAATATGAAGGGTACGATAACAATAAAGATTTTGTGAGGTCTTGAGCTGTCGCCAGCCTCAGGGGGGAGAAGCTCTTGCTTCTCTGAGCTGAACTCCTGTCCCCAAACTCACCCCATCTGATTTCCATTAAAATATCCTCCTAGCAAAGGTGAAAACAATCAGACTTAATAAGCAATTTTAGCCCAGCCTCAGCTTCCTTCTTTCCTCACCCGTGGGGTGAATTGTTGGGCTGGCAGTGATGGGTGGGTGATGGCAGGTTTTTTTAGAAAATAAACAAAGATGTTTGCTATGGTCTGCTCTGCTCCTGCACCTGCAAAAGGTGAAGGGAGATGTTGGCAGAAGTTTGACTGGAGACATAAGTGGATATAACCCACAAATTTGTTATATCTTAATGGGATGGCATTGCTGAGCATGCACTGTGACTGTCTTTGGGGCTCTCC